GAGCTAAGTTGGCAACCAACTTTATATAGTAACTGCTCAATCTTAGTGCTTGTTGTTGGGATCCTGTTGATTGCCGTTATTTTAGTACCACATGTTGTTGGCTTTCTTCAAGTGCATGCAGCTGGTGCTATTGTCTCTCAAGTAAATTAATGCTTACTATTGATAGCTTTCCCATATGCTTCAGTGTTGATGCAGTGAGTTTTATGCATCTGGCCCATAGTGTCTTTAGCTGTGCTTTGACACATGTTGCTGTATGCTTCACTTTATTAGAATTATATTCAATGCAGTTTTTTAACTACTGCATGGTGCTCATTTGTAACAGATCACTGTTATAATTATGTATTCCACTTATTCTATTGTTATTGAGGTATTATGTAGTGATATAGTTATTGGCAGGCAGTATGCATGCATTGTTGTACATTATTGTTGTACATAGACTAGCCTAGGAAAGAGTAATGGAATAAGGAAGGAAGTAAAGTGCTTTATTTTCCACTCTTTCTCTTCCCCTGGATCAGCCATTGTAATGAACTTGTTTCTTATTGTGCTGCTTGTAGTTTATGAAAAACATATTCTTTATCAAAATTATAGTGATAACTACAAAATGCACGCAATGAAACTATGTGTGTATGTTAGCAGCAAAACTACATGTATTAGGGAATCATGTATAAACTTTTAATGTCTCATATTATGTCTTTGGTTGATACCACTACATTGCTAGTGGTTTTACTCCTGTATACTCCAGTTACATGATAGTTGAATGTCCTTCCTGTTATCAGTTTCACTGTCAGTCTCCCTGTATAAGGTGTTTCAATGACTCCTTGATAAGCAGTTGCAGTAGCAATCACTTCTTTACCTGGTGGAACTTTAATATTGAAAGCATAGTTCTGTGTGCTATTTATATTCAATTCCCTGTCATGATAGTATGGGCTACTCATAACTAGGTTTGATGTTAAGCTATTTCCTGTTGGCAAAGTAATAGAAGTGATGCTTGATTCAACACGAATGTTAGTCAATCGAGTTTCAAGTCTTGTTGAACTGAGAGACCATTGATGAATCTCGCTTACTGATCTGCTTCCTGACAGTGTGAACTCTTGTTCTACTTTCCTTCCTTTGTTGTCGCATTTCATTTCATTGATGTGAAACGGTTTCTCGAGAATAGACAAATTATTAATGTGTGGATACTGTACATGAGTCAATGTACTACTTTCCACTTTTTGCATGAATAGAAATGTTACTGCGTCCATGATACTTCCACAACGAGCTCTATATCCAACTAATATTCCAGAACCAAGTGGACGAGGTTGATAGTAATAATTACTATTTCCTGCTCGAAAATACCTGTGCTTATTGGTTGAGAAGTATATTCCTGATATAAAACCACTGCAGTCCTTTTTATCAGTATAGATGATCAAATGAATTATTCTCTCGTCAGGTTGAAAGACGAAAGTTTTGCTTGCAATAGACTTTTCTACTCCACAGGAATACTTAG